TCGTTGTATTGATGATCTGGAGCTGGGTCAATTAGCCCTAAAAAGCATGGACAGAGAGAAAGAGAGAGAGAGAGAACGTAGAGGAGAGCAAAAGGAGGAGGCGGGAGAGAGCGCACGGATCCACTGGAATAAATATGACGCAGAGCCAGAGCAACTTCTCCAGCCCGCTGTACCCAGTGAGGGCACTGTCACCATGGCAACGGCAGAGCAGCGGTAGCTCGCCGGGGCACACAAGGCACGGCATTATTCTGTCTCTCGCTCGCTGGAAATACACAGCTCCACTCAGGCGGACGGGCGCCTTGTGTTCAATTAACTCTACTCGTTCTGGGCCCCAGGAGCCCAGCCACCTGTGACCTAAGATGAGGACGGACGCTGCTTAATATGAAGGTTATTTGAGAACACGCCAAATGTGTCACAAATCAACGTTTGGAGACGGATCCTTTCAGACACTTCGTTAAACAAAGCAAAGAGTCTGACTAGTTAAATTGAATGGGAAGAGTTTATACGGCATGCGAATAAGAACGGTTTATTGGCTTGCTGAAAAAAAACTTGGGGGACGTTTATATGACAACAACGTACAAAAAACGGAGAAGTTTTCCATACAGACGATCCCCGTTCACACTGATCAACGAAAACGACAAAAAAAGGCTATAAGCTTGCCAGGCCAGTAGATGGCGATGTCACTTTGTTATTTTTGTAGTTTACATGAAGACGATAAAGGTAACTTGAACTTTGAAACACGGTTTCAATAGTTTTCCTCTTCAGGCCAACAAAACACTGTTGTCGTGTAAATGAACAGCCAAAACTCATAAAATGTTTTCAGTTTTTAGTTGAAAGCTGGTGTGTAAACACCCCCTTGGCTTGTTAGTCTGAGCTGGTTTAAAGGGGTCATATGATGTTGCTAAAAAGAACATTATTTTGTGTATTTGGTGTAATGAAATGTTTATCCGGTTTAAGGTTAAAAAAACACATTATTTTCCACATACTGTACATTATTGTTTCTCCTCTATGCCCCGCCTTTCTGAAACGCCTCGATTTTTACAAAGCTCATCGGTCTGAAAAGCGAGGTGTGCTCTGATTGGCCAGCTATCCAGTGCGTTGTGATTGGCCGAATACCTCAAGCATGTGACGGAAATTTACGCCCCTTACCATACTGTGATGCCTTGTCCGTCCGGAGCGAAGAGACAAAAACATTAAAACCCATTATAAATGAGCCATTTGTTGCATCCAGTGGGGACTTAATTACAGATTATAATGACTTATACTGTCTTTTTATGCGTTGCATCGCGCCACGTAAACATAAAGCCATGTCTGCATTTGTGATCGGAGAAATGACAAACAAAAAGTGCTACTCACTGCTCAAAACTCTTGTTTGAATCGTCAGTGGCAAATTCTTTATTTATAAAAAACGTACTTACAGTCTGTGAGTCAGAACAGCCAGCATTGTAGTCTACTCTTCCAGGATCAGGAAACAGTCCTCCATAAAATGTGATGCACACATCTGAATATTTGGTTTGAAGTGTTCTGGAACAGTGTTGTAAATACAACTTAACCACTGATTTCTAGTCATGTCCTCTTTTGGAAATTTGGATTTGAGACTAGTCTTTGCAACTTTACAGATCATCTTTGTGCACCAAGAGCTTGTAACACTTCAAAGAGAAAGGAAAAATTGAAATCGCATCATATGACTCCTTTAAGGTGGACTCCCAGTCTGGCTGAGCTATTTTTATCTGAATGGACAGATGGTCTTCAGGCCTGACCAGCTGAAAAATGCCTGAAACCCCTCTAAAACCCGCCAAAAACATCTTAAACCAGCCTAAACCGGTCTGCTAGTCTCGCAGCCTGGTCAGACTGGCCTGGAGACTGGTTTTAAAGGGGTTTTAGGCTCTCTTCAACTGGTTAGGCTGGGACATGTAGCTCAGAATAGTTTAAGAGGGGTTTTTTTCTATTAAGGGTTTATTAGTCTGGTGAAAAAGTTAAGTTTGCTGGTCTTAGATGGTTTAAACTAGTCCCCAGCCTGGCTAGGCTGTTTTTAGCTGGACCAACAATAGGTCTCCTGGCCTGACAAGTTAAACCATTTCTTTACACAAGCCATCTTAAACCAGCCTAATCTGGTTTGCTGATCTCCCAGCCTGGTCTGTTGACTAGTTTTAAAGAGTTTGGGGCACTTTTTAGCTGGTCAGGCTAGTAGACTTGCTGAAGAACAGGTTGACCAGACTGGGAGACAAGCCCAAACCAGCTAAGACCAACTTAAACCAGCTTAGGGAAGTTAAAGCAGGTTTATTCAGTAGAGAATAAAGAGCTTCAATAGATTCATTATCCCATTGAAAAAACCTAAGGTGGTTTAATCTGGTCCTGGCCAAACTGTTTTTAGCTGGCAGCCAGTTTGACCAACCTGGAAGACAAGCAAACCAGTTTAGGCTGGTTTAAGCAAGCTTTTTCAGCAAGGTAGTTCTTTAAGAATGCCAAAATCAGTCGATATTCTTGCATTGAACTTCCACTACCATTCATGTCAAGATTGAGACATTCTTCAAATTATTTGACCCAAACTGAAATCAAAAGCAATTTGTTTTATTAGCAATGGAAAGCTGAAGTAGTCAGGAAAAATAGTCATATCCATAAAGACAAAAATATAATAAGCTTTATCTTATGAGCTGTCAAGGTGTGTTAAAGAAAATTTCACCCAGTGGGCCGAGGAACTGAGTGATCCCTTCACCATAATTTGCTTGCTTAGGAAAATACAGAATGTTTTATAAACAACAGCTCTGGCCAACAAGGATATGAGATTTTTCTCCTGTCTTTTTATGCTTTGAGTGGTGTCTGCTGCTTGCCAAGAGCAAAGCTGAGTAATGAGACAGGATGGAGAGGAATGGAGAGTGCCAAGTGACTCCAGTCTCAACCAGTCTCAGCAGAACCGTTCTAATGATGAGAGCCACATAATGGAAGGTGACCCACTTATCGTGCCGCGTCCCTCTGTGATTCTGATTCGCCATCTCCAAAGACACCCTGGCCCAATTTCAATGTCTACACATTGTGTGCGATTATGTATTTGCTTGTGCGTTGTGGGTGGGCGGGTATTTGGTAGAATATAGCTCAAGATGATCTACTGCAGATGTTGTGCCCAACCATAATAATATGCCAAAATGTGACTAAGTGCACCTGGAAAAGGCAGAATGAATGCACGGAAATAGCAAAGAACTTCTCCTGTCGAGCTCAACAAAAGGAATTAGATGCAAAGTGAAGTATCTGGATCGTGCATAAATCAGGATGAACTTCATCAGGTGCTCTGGTGTTTGTATCACCCAGCGAGAAAAAACAGGATTTCATGCATAATGCTTTCATTGTGCTGACTCCAGCCCTCATTGTGCCAAACAATGCCCTACAGCCCAAACGTAAAGCTACTTTAGATGCATCTGCCTCTGGCAACAGCAGCATATGCTGGACATTAGCTCTTGTAATTCAGTCAGCATGTTTGTATGTAACTCAAAGCAGACAGGAACCTCAGCATGTGCACTTTAGAAGCACTGATAGCAAATAATCATTACATGTCTATGATGGATGATCTGTATGAAAATATATGGATTTTCAAGATGGAAACTTTCCAAGCAAGTACTAAAAAACAACTCTCACTGAGTTCACTGAACTGAACACGAAGGCACATTTTCAGGTCACTGCCACGATGAAAGGAAAACGCCTCTGTAGTTCTGCATTATTTAGCCCTACTGGCACAACGAGATGTTTAAACAGTGTCAAGAGGAGTACGTCTAATTAATCTAAGTATATTGCAGAAGACTGAATTGATTGCCGCCATCACCATTCATTCCAAGATACGGCATTTGATTTCATTGATAGAGAGCAGAGCTGTCAGGCAAAATAAAACTAGACAACGCTTAGCCCTTTTTTTCCTAGTGGAAACTATGAAGATGGATGATCCAAAAGAAATGGAAACAAAAATCTAGTATATGCATGCAAAGAGTGATGGCCTGACCAGTAACATTACATTGCTAGTCTAACAGTTTTGCTGTCTTATAAATATTAGGAAGTTTCAAATGATTTTATTAGGTTAAAAAACGGGAGTACAAGCAATGGTGGAGTGTGTGTGTGTGTGTGTGTGTGTGTGTGTGGGGGGGGGGG